TATATATATATATATATATATATATATATATATATATATATATATATATATATATATATATATAGGGGACATAAACACAAGTATTATTGCTTGTGAGAAATTTTTCAATGCATTTACCTATAAATAGCCTAGGTGTCAAAAAAACAACACCTCGGCCATTCAAGGTAAAACCTCAAAATATCAGCTATTCCACTGAATATTTTTTAAAGAATTAAGTCTGTTAAGCATCTTTGCTAAAAATTCAATAATTGTCCATAAGCCTCAGCATCGAAAGAAAACTAGTTATTCCATAGTAATTTGTTGAAAATTTGAAGGTATCGAAAACGACACCTCGGCCATCCAAGGGTTAAAGAAGAGTACAATTTGGACGGTGAGTAAATAATTCAGTAAACTAACGCGTTTCGTTGTGAAATGCCTGAATGCCTGAAGACATTCCTTTCGGTTCTTCATGCGTCACAACACTGTTTCCCCTACTGTCATACACACACACACTCGCGCGCGCACACACATACATACACACGCACACACACAAACATATATGCATATCCAGGTAAGATGAGAACGAATAGAGTACAATTCCAATGTTCATAACATTTAAGTTAAAAGAGAACTCAATACAAAGTAGAGCAATATTCGTTATTGTAGGATATTACATCGAAAACATGTCAAAATCGCTACACAGATGTAGTTGTTTTTCGATACGCATCACGACTGGTATAATTTTAGCTATTGCCTATAAATATGTGTTTCTCTTTGCCTCATCAGCCTTACTTTCCCTGACGATCCGTTTAGGTGAAACCAAGGTAGGTTTGTCTGACTCACTAGGTGTATCTCTCCCTCTCTCTCTCTCTCTCTCTCTCTCTCTATATATATATATATATATATATATATATATATATATATAAGTTCACCAATTATTTTAATATATTTTCTGTTTATATTTTATTTTTATAGTTACAAATATTTAAGTAAATGCTCTGTTTATAATAAACGGTATTAACTGCATTTACCGGCGTAAATGTCCGAGAAATTTCATAGAAAATATAGGGCCTCCGACAGGAATCGAACCTGTATCATTCACGGAACCGTTATATAGTCTGACATGCCATTTAGTTACAGAGGAAGCGTGTGGTTAGCAAGGTCGAATTACTGTTTTTAAATTAGAAATTTCCTAAATTTGAAGTATTAAAAATAATACCCATCAATTCTTTTGAAGTTGCTTTGCTTGTTTCCGATACAAATCGAGCAGATTTGGAGATTCGAGAAAATCCGAACGAGGAAATGTGCATTCCTTAAAAGAGTAAACAGACCTATTCTGGGCTTTCCTGGTCGCTTTGGCCGAGTGGTCTAAAGCCATGTTTCTCAACCTTATTTTGGTCGTGACCCTCTTTATTCCAAACGACTTCTTTATGGTCCCTCATGCCAACTTGAGTTCTTATCCCTCCTAATCTCTCCCGCCCCGTCTCTCAGCTTAATACATCTAGGGAAGTAGGAATATTAATATTATACTTGATAAATATTTTATTTCAATAAACTCATTTATTGACAAAACAAAAAATACATTAGCTATCTTGTATGCTTTCAATAGAATCCCTGTGACTGGTGCAGGGCTGCCAAATTGTCAATGTTTGGCTTGAAAGCTGTCAGAGAGAGACGTAAATGGCTTCTTTTTCTACGCCAAGGCGATTTCGAGTCTTTGACAGCAGATGCATCATCGGACTAAAACCAAACTCAATCTAGTAAGATGTGGGAAAAATGAGTAAGAGCAACTTCAGATCTTTCCAGAGTCGTGGGTAATTCTTATACATGTCTTCATTTATCCACAGCTTCTGGTATCCTTCACACTTGAACCTCGCTTGAGCTGCTGTGTTATTTTGAAGATCAATGAAACTTTCTTGTAGGGTGATATAAACTTCAGATGTATCAGCAATAAAAGGACCCAGAATCCAGTGCGGCACTGTCATTTGGAGTAGATCAGAGAAACGCGTTTTCATATCATTATCCAACTGCTTCAAATGATCAACATACACTGTTAGGTCATCATCAAGCAGCTCAGTTGATATATTTACTTGGGAAGGAAACACTGCAAACTCACGTCTCCCAAGTTTCAACTAGAACATCTTTAGTTTCCCATTAAATGTGTTCTTTGCATCCTTGCAGGAAAACAGTGTGGCGTCATTTCCATAGAGCTCTTTGTTCAGGACATTTTGTTTTACAAAATTGAATGACAAGTTACTGAAAACATACGGTAATTTAAACTTTAAATTATAAATTTTAAATTTTAAGAAGTTGAAAAGTAAAACCGACCCTTTTGCATAGATCAGATGAAAAAATGCAATAAATAAATATTTATGTTAACAAAATGGCTTAGATTAATTTAATATTTAACTTGATAATAAATTTAATATTTTATTTTAAATAATAATTATTAATTTTAAAATACTCCACATATATATTTTTTCTGGCTCCTAAATTTTCTGTACTCCGTCGTGCCATCCCACTTTTTAAAACTTGGCCTTGTGGCCCCTGAAAATATCTCATGGCCTCCAAGGAAGCCATATTACCCAACTTGAGAAACTTTGGTCTAAAGCACACCGTATCAAACTGATTTTTTTTCTACAAAAAGCTTCGAGCCATTCCGGGGAGCAGTTTTTGTATATTTAGTTTTCTTGAGTGCACAGGCAGGTAGACGTAATACACATTGTTTAAAAAAATTTAAAAAACGGGGCGTCTGTTTCAAACACGGGTATCCAATAGCGTTTAAAGTAGAATGTATATTTTGGGGAGAAACATTTTTTTTCCTGAAATTGTTTTATTTTTTTTTTATAGTAAATATATATCCCTTGCCTCTTAAGCACTTCATCTTCTTTCTCGAAATGAAATGATGAAAAAAATGTGGCAAACATGGATCTTCGTGTCCGCAATAAAACTGAGTGTCAAAAGGGTGGGTTTTCCTATGATAACGCTTTTATTTTAACTAGAACTAAAAGTTTATTGTGTTAAAAAGCGATGATTACAATTGGAAAAAAAAAAAAAAATATATGATGAAAGTGAATTTATATATCTTGTTCGTTCTCCAGAATTTACAACAAAAATATTAAACGCTATTTATTTATTAGATTGTTTATTTACAACATTCTAAAAAGTAAAAACTAATACAATTTAGAACTAATGCAATATTTATCATTTACCATAAATATGAAATAAATATCATTAAAATATGTGAATAATTATTATTATTTCAATCAGTTATGTGCCATACAGGATGCACATACGATCATGTATCTTTCGATAGATGACTAACGAGGCAGATTTTTTCCCGCAGTAGGTTGCCATCTCTTTCTGCGGTAGACCAGTTGCCATCCAAGGCTCTCAAACGCGGTCTGTCCTGCTATTTACCCATAGCTGGGGCGAGAAGAAGAGAATTCATACCTTTCCTAAGGGTGTTAGCACGTAAGTGAATGTAATGGATTCGACTAGAATTCGAACTCGGCCCTCCGATTCCTCAATCCATTACTCCACCCTGCCTCCTTTTATTATCTTCTTGCCCGAAATGAAATGATGAAAAACCAATGTGGCAAACATGGATCTTCGTGCCCTCAATAAAACGGAGTATCAAAAGGGTGGGTTTTCCCATGACACCGCTTTTATTCTAACAATATTTTAATAACTCTGCCTGCCTATTATTTACCATTTTATAAAGTTTGAATCAATTATCAATTAGCCGATGTTTTGCCCATCATTGCAACAAATAACATAAATAAATAAAGTAAATAAACAATCGAATAAATAAATAGTATTTATTATTCAAATGTTTAGGTTTTATTCCAATTATAATCATCGCTTTTTAAAACAATGTCGAAGAGTGAAAGTAGTTAAAAATGCGATGTAATGGGAAAAAATCGCCGATTTGACATTCCGTCATATTGCCGGTACGTTTCTCCGTGTTTGCCGATACTTTTTCATTTTTCTCACGTTAAAAACCAAAATAAAAAGAAAAAAACTTATGGATTAAATTTAAATAGCTGAATGCAACCGTAAGTTCTATTCTAATAGTTCCTTTTCTCGCCTGTGGAACTCTAATCCGGCTCCATACTTCACTGCCATGTACGATCTTCAAAATTTCAAATTCAACGTCAATCACCATCTTCCTTCATTCCTTCATTTCTCCTTAGTATAATCTTCTTATTCTCTTTCATTCACTAACCCAGTGATTCACAACCAACTGCTGGAAACTTCCCTCTGCAAAAGGCAGTACCTGCTCCTATTTATAACTGGGAGAGTCCATGCTTGCGTGGGTAAATTACCATAACATATATGTGTGTAAGTTGTAATGGTACAGCGTTTGTATTTGAATAAGTATTAAACTTTTTTCAAATAATTCTTTTCACTATTCTTCGATTATGTTATTTTAAATACTTTCATTCGACAGTACCCTTTGATACATTTAGGGTGTTTAACCCACATTAGCATTTGATACATTAGGGTGTATAACCCACATTAGCTAAAAAGGCTTTATCAGATTTATTACAATTTTTTATTTCTTATTTATGCTAATTAAGTTTCTCAACCCTAAATCACATAAAAAATAAGATGCAAGAAAGACTCTGCTCAACTGAAGAAGAAATGAGGGCCTGCTTATTGCGCATTCCACCAAAAATTGAAGAAATTACGAAAAAACACCAGGCGCTGCTTTCACACTAAATAAGTTGCACAAATATTTGGATAGAAACATTAAAATAATATAAGTTCATGTGTTTCTATTAGCTTTAAATTTATGGCTTTATTTCATAACATGTAAATGTATACCCTTTAATAATTTTGCTAAGTGTGTTGTGATATTTTCATTTGCTCCTAGGTGTGTTGTTGACTAAAAAATGTTTACAAACACTGTTTTAGACGGTTGGCCACCCAAAGCTAAATGACTTTCTCTGTCTTGCTGGAAGGAGAGGAGATGGATTCATACCGTTCCCATAGGTATTAGCACGTAAGTGAACGTAATGAACTCGACTGGAATTAGAACTCCGTTCATTTTTCATATCTATCTATCTATCTATCTATCTATCTATCTATCTATCTATCTATCTGTCTATCTATCTATCTATCTATCAGTCTGTCTCAGTCATGTTCTTTGTTTCTTTCTCAGTCTTTTTATATCTATCTATCTATCTATCTATCTATCTATCTATCTATCTATTTCAGTCTGTTCATATCTATCTATCTATCTATCTATCTATCTATCAGTCTGTCTCAGTCATGTTCTTTCTTTCTTTCTCAGTCTTTTTATATCTATCTATCTATCTATCTATCTATCTATCTATCTATCTATCTATTTCAGTCTGTTCATATCTATCTATCTATCTATCTATCTATCTATCTATCTGTCTCAGTCATGTTCTTTCTTTCTTTCTTTAGTCTTTTATATCTATCTATCTATCTATCTATCTATCTATCTATCTATCTCAGTCTGTTCATATCTATCTATCTTCCTATCTATCTATCTATCTATTTCAGTCTGTTCATATCTATCTATCTATCTATCTATCTATCTATCTATCTCAGTCATGTTCTTTCTTTCTTTCTTTCTCAGTCATTTTCTATCTATCTATCTATCTATCTATTTCAGTCTGTTCATATCTATCTATCTATCTATCTATCTCAGTCTGTTCATATCTATCTATCTATCTATCTATCTATCTCAGTCTGTTCATATCTATCTATCTATCTATCTCAGTCTGTTCATATCTATCTATCTATCTATCAGTCTGTCTCAGTCATGTTCTTTCTTTTTTTCTCAGTCTTTTTCTATCTATCTATCTCAGTCTGTTCATATCTATCTATCTATCTATTTCAGTCTGTTCATATCTATCTATCTATCTATCTATCTATCTATCTATCTATCTCATTCTGTTCATATCTATCTATCTATCTATCTATCTATCTATCTATCTATCTGTTTAATTCTGTTCATATCTATCTATCTATCTATCTATCTATCTATCTATCTATCTATCTCATTCTGTTCATATCTATCTATCTATCTATCTATCTAATTCTGTTCATATCTATCTATCTATCTATCTATCTATCTATCTATCTATCTATCTATCTATCTCAGTCATGTTCTTTCTTTCTTTCTCAGTCTTTTTATATCTATCTATCTATTTCAGTCTGTTCATATCTATCTATCTATCTATCTATCTATCTATCTATCTATCTATCTATTTCAGTCTGTTCATATCTATCTATCTATCTATCTATCTATCTATCTATCTATCTATCTCAGTCATGTTCTTTCTTTCTCAGTCTTTTTATATCTATCTATCTATCTATCTATCTATCTATCTATCTATCTATTTCAGTCTGTTCATATCTATCTTTCTATCTATCTATCTATTTCAGTCTGTTCATATCTATCTATCTATCTATCTATCTATCTATCTATCTATCTATCTATCTATCAGTCTGTCTCAGTCATGTTCTTTCTTTCTTTCTCAGTCTTTTTATATCTATCTATCTATCTATCTATCTATCTATCTATCTATCTATCTATCTATCTATCTATTTCAGTCTGTTCATATCTATCTATCTATCTATCTATCTATCTATCTATCTATCTATCTATCTGTCTCAGTCATGTTCTTTCTTTCTTTCTCAGTCTTTTTATATCTATCTATCTATCTATCTATCTATCTATCTATCTATCTCAGTCATGTTCTTTCTTTTCTTTCTCAGTCTTTTTATATCTATCTATCTATCTATCTATCTATCTATCTATCTATCTATTTCAGTCTGTTCATATCTATCTATCTATCTATCTATCTATCTATCTATCTGTCTCAGTCATGTTCTTTCTTTCTTTCTCAGTCTTTTTATATCTTATCTATCTATCTATCTATCTATCTCAGTCATGTTCTTTCTTTCTTTCTCAGTCTTTTTATATCTATCTATCTATCTATCTATCTATCTATCTATCTATCTATTTCAGTCTGTTCATATCTATCTATCTATCTATCTATCTATCTATCTGTCTCAGTCATGTTCTTTCTTTCTTTCTCAGTCTTTTTATATCTATCTATCTATCTATCTATCTATCTATCTATCTCAGTCATGTTCTTTCTTTCTTTCTCAGTCTTTTTATATCTATCTATCTATCTATCTATCTATCTATCTATCTATCTATCTCAGTCATGTTCTTTCTTTCTTTCTCAGTCTTTTTATATCTATCTATCTATGGATAGAAACATAAAGTAAGTTCATATTTGTATTTGTATTATTTTTAGATCTATGTTTTTATTTCATAACATTTAAATGTGTACGCTTTAAAATAAATGCTCACTAGAAGCTTAAACACAGTCTTGGTATGAAATAAGAGACAATTTCTGAAATATGAAAGAAATATAACAATAAACATGGCGTAATGGTTGGCAAGCTTGCCCTGCTAAATCAATTACGACTGAATAGTGAGTTCGATTCTCACTAAGTACGCCATATTTTCGGCCCTGTGACACATCTAAGCTACGCTTAGAAATTCTCCATAACAGAATAATTGATTAAAAGTCAAATATTGACAGCAACTTGCGTATTAGCGACATTGATAAACACTTCCTATTTATAGCTGTTTTTTTTTGTCTTTTTACTGTACTATGTGCATACGAAATATTTTTACTTGTTTTTCAGCATACAAAAAGCGGGAGAACTAAAAATAGAAGACGTATCGAGAGTTTCCATTCATTCAATGACTCAACTCCAAATTCTCTTTCTGTCTTATTCCTTTTTATAATATTATAAATAGCTGACGGATGTGAAGGGAATACGTTGTTTTAGCTACTTTAACTGAAAATTATCTTATTACATAATGTATATAAACTATTTTCCTATGAACGCTCCATAGTATTTACGTAGATTAGTGAGTTACAATCCGGCTTGACAAGCAAGATAAAATCGGCCAATGACGTCTCTGTGATGTCATCAACTAGTTTGTATGATCAAATAATTTATTTGAACGGAAGACACTATGTCAAGTCGCATGGGCGGCCATATTTGCTTAATATATGAGCGACGTACGATATGCTTCAAATGTACGTATATACGATTGAGCGCACAAGTCGATGGAACAAAGTGGTAAGAATGTTTTAGGTGGTATATTGGCCCGTAAACGTATATTGAATGACGGAAGACAACAACAATCAACGTGAGTAAAACAATATATTGCCAAGTTTATATTTGATAAAGAAAATACATAGACAAAAATAATGTTACAGTGCACTGGGCAAAAAATAACTCTGAAAGTTCATGTAGAGAGCAAGAAGTGTGTTGTCCTGATAAGGACAGTTTTGTGGTCGCTGAAGAGCGATGTCATGAAAAGTACTGTTTTGTAATTGGTGAAGAGCGTTGTCTTGAAAATGACAGTTTATTGCATATCGTTGCTGCCGGTGGCTGGAGTGGGAAGCCTGTTGGAGTGGCAGAATCAGGAGGCCTACTGGAGATGACTGGGACGACAGCCGATGGCAAGCTGAAGATGATGGTAGCTAGCTCGCTAGAACTGCTGCTGATGGCTGAAGCCGTGGGCGTACTGTCGACTGCTGTGTCTGGTTGAAGAGATGCTGGTATTCAGCAGACTCCCCACTAAGTTAGGATGCGATACAAGGTTAGTTTAACGTGGGGAACTCGATCGCGTATACTCAGGCCTCTCTTTTATGTGCCATGTTCTTTTAGGACGTAGGCGATCATGGCTCTCCACCTCCTCTATCACTCTCAGTAAGCTCCTTTCCTCTGCTTCCCCCCAGACCACGTTCTGTCATCCACCTGCTCAAGCTTGTCAGGTATGTCACGCGCTGCTTTCCCTTGTCTCTCTTTCTCTCTATTCGATTATCAGATTTTCCAGGCCCTCCTTCCTCATTGTGTCACAGAAATTTCAGCTGCCCCTTCTTGATGTTAAGTATAAGCCTCATCCTCGTTTGCATCCCCTCTAAGAACTCATCATTGCTGACACGCTCGGTCCAAGATATCCTTAGCATCTGTAAGAAATTCTGCAATTTAAGCGCCTATTGGCTGATTTGTAACGACCAATTTCATTGGTCGGAATTAGACTTGGTTTTTCGCGGGCATTTTAGAACGGCCCGCGCCCCTTTGACTCAGTTGCGGATAACTATTGGAAATGTTCGGATTCATTTTTGATTGTCTTTGCTTGGCCATTAGCGCAAAGATCAAGCCTAGATAATTAGGCTAAGATTCCTTTCTACCTGTTGCGGCATATTTTAGAAATGTCCGGACTCATTTTTGAATATCTTTGCAAGGCTATTAGCGCCCGAGAACAAGCCTAAATAATTAGGCTATGATTCCTTTCAGCAACCAATTGGTAATGCTTCAGAGACGACTTCATGTCCTAGCTTAATTCCTTCAAGGCTGCAGAATTCAGTCATAATGACTGTCGTCAAATGTGTACGTTTACACGAAGAACTTTAAGAATGATCTCGACAACAGCCGAGTTTCAACTCCAGCAACGTCCAGCAAATTCCAGTTTCTCCAACTTCGTAGAGACCAATCATGTCCTACTGAAGTAAAAGACACTACCTATTCATTGAAGAACTACCCTACCCTGTTCCCAGGGGCAAAAAAGGGCAAAGTCTTTTTTTGCAAGGATAGAATAAAATTTGTTTTAAGTTTTAAGGTAGGCCTTGTTTGTCTTTCTTGTCTCTGCCAAGGGTTGAACTGTGTGAGAAGAAATTCTCACACATCCTTCTGTAGAACCGCATCGAGTCTCTTCTTCATCTTTGAGGAAATCGTCCAACATTCGCTGCCGTAAAGAAGGACAGATGTCACATAACAGCTCAATATTCTTTTCTTCGTTACCAAAGAAATCCTCCTGTCTTGCAATACTCTGCCCAGCTTTTGGAATACGTCCTTGGCCATCCCAATACGTCTACGGATCTCACTGTCGCACTTACCTCTGTCAAGACGCTTCCCAGATATTTAAACTGCTGCGTCTGCTTGATTCTAGCGTTCCCGACCTGCAAATCAAGTTTCGGGCTCTTCCTGTTGCCGATAACCATGAATATTCAGGCCACTGGTCAAATATTGGTCAATTTTTGCCAATTCCCGCGGGATAGGGAAACAACTTCTCTTAGCTGGTCATGATCTGCCGGAACAGATATTTGTATTCACTCAACCCCACCCCACGAGTTCAGGTTATGACAAAAAGTCGGTTTAATGTGGGGAGCCCGAGCGCGTACACCCGGGCAAGGAATAAAAATTCCCCGACCTCCCGCAACCGTCGGTTGCGCTGGTCTCTGTGCGTGCACCGATCCTTCTCTCTAGTGCAATGAGAAGATGCGGCCTCGGGCAGCCCTGCCGGAAATATTACTCTTTAATTTTCGTCATCTTTTGAGGCCTTTTTACATTCTGAATCACTATTACAAGACGCTTCCTAGATATTTAAACTGCTACGTCTGCTTGTTTCTAGCGTTCCCGACCTGCAATTTACATTTCGGGCTCTTCCCCTTGCCGATAACCATGCATACTCAGGCCACTGGTCAAATATTGGTCAATTTTTGCCAATCCCCGCAAGATCGGGAAGCAACTTCTCTTAGCTGGTCATGATCTGCCGGAACAGATATTTGTATTTACTCAACTCCCCCCACGAGTTCAGGTTGTGACACAAGGTCGGTTTAATGTGGGGAGCCCGAGCGCGTACACCCGGGCAAGGAATAAAAATTCCCCGACCTGCCGCAACCGTCGGCCTTCTCTCTAGTGCAATGAGAAGGCGCGGCCTCGGGCAGCACTGTCGGAACAGATATTACTCTTTAATTTTCATCATCTTTTTAGGTCTCTTTATATTCTGAATCACTATTACAACAACGCTGGTTAAGCTTTTTCTTACAGTTGTTTTTAAAAAATGTTGTCGTGCGATAGGATATGACAAGATCAACTCTCCTCTCAAATTCGTGCGAAATAATATTTGTAAAAACTAAAAAAATATCAGATGATCAAATTTGTATTAATTGCCTACTGTCAATTGCAAAAAAAAAAAAAAAAAAGAAAGAAACCTTTTATTTAAAATTACTACTTGGATTTTTATTGGTGCAAAATTAATCTCTTCAAGCGAAATCTCTCTATACACCTATGTAGCCGTAAAACTAAATTTCCACACTAGATTTTATTGTGGTATACACAATTTAAAAAAAAAAGTAATTCCACCCCAAGCACGACAATAAAGCAACTAAGATGCAAGGGGTTATTGAGTGTGAAAGAATATAAGAAAATAAATATTATTAAGGGGTGAGAACAATAAAAAAAAAAAACAGGGATCAAGAAGATAGAAGATAACGATTGACATTACATTTAAACTTTTGAAGATCAAAGTTGATTGGGAAACAAAAAGCCGGAAGAGAGTTCCACAAGCTAAAAAATCTAAGAGAAAAAACTGTTAACATAGAACTTGCGGTTACATCTAGTCATTTCAACAGCAAAATGATGAGACCTGTCAATCTAGTACTGCGCTTAAAATATTTATTTAACATGTTTTACATTATTTTAACATTAACAGATGCATATAAGCAATAACCTTTATTTTTGTCGGTACTTTCAAAATTGTTAATGTGTATCTATTACAGTAATTTCACAATGTACATAGAGCCTCACTCAACGACTTACTTTTTAACTACCCCATACTTACAACCAAATATAAAATTTTGATTGTGATTGTTTTCTCTTTAAAATGAATAAAAGAAAATAAATAATGAATTCAAATGTAAATAAAATATTTGCTTTTACTGTATAAAGACAAACCAAGGTAATGTACAATATATAAAACTTATTTTCGAATTTGTTTATTACATTTACTGTTCTGTACACTACTGTGTGAATATTCGGATGGTACAATCGATAAATGATGAGATCTAACTGCCAATTTAGTACTGCGCTTAAATTCATAAAGTCCAGATAACAAAGAGTATAATAAATATACTAATATAATAATTATAAAGCAAACAGCAAGAAATTAGTATGAACACCACCCGGACCCAGTTACGGAAATAGGACTCGTAACAATTTTATGGGATTTTACAATATACACAGACAGAACAATCAATGCTAATCGTGCTGACACTGTGATTAGAGGCCGCAGAGACAAAATATGCCTCCTTATTGACATGGCAGTCCCTGCAGACTGTAACTGTAATGTATCTTTGAAGATCTTCAAAAAAATTATCAGAATACAAGGACCTTGAAATCGAAATCTCAAAAATA